TCACTAGTACTTGCAGAATTCCCCCATGAAGCTATTCATCACTAGTGAGCACATGGTAATTATCAGTTTGGGGTTACGGAGATTGTTAAGTTTTCGATTGAGTTCATGGTCTCAATCAATAACGCCCAGAAGGAAAATGAAAGCTTCACCAATAAAACACCTAGCTCAGAGAATGAAACTCCACAGAAATCACCCACATATAGTTTAAATTTACACCATTTTAAAAAACCTGTTTATCCTTAATCAAAAGAATTCTGTTGAGTGATTTTAGACGTAATTGCTTTCTCCCTCATACTGACATCAGCTAACATAACTCAATATCCATTTTACCCCAGTCAAAGACACCACAACTTTGACCGCCTTCGAATACGTAATGGTTTGAACCCAGTACCTAAAGATCTCTCTGCGTGAGGGGATTACATTTCAATCACTGTATGTTAGAGTTTCATGATGCTCAAATGTATAATTAAGTGATGAATTGTATTTCTTAGTCAAGTCAGTTAATTTATTCATTTTGCAAATAATATACAAACATATTATTACATAAATAGTTACTGAATATATTCAGATTTATTAGCTGACTGAAAATCTTATATTATTATTATTAATGTGGGTGTAGTTTTGATTAGTGGCTGGTAAACAAATAATTCTTCTTCTATAGCCTTGTTATCTTTCAAAAGTTGTCATAATAGTCTTCTACTGTAGTAATATATAGCAGTCATTCTACAGTCATAGCAAACAGCTAACCGTATACTATGAATGAGCCTTTCTTTTTTAAGTTCCGGCAATGAGAAAAACTCAGTATCGATTTATATCCTGATAATCCTGTATACTTCATGTTAGGCTACAGATTAAAACTACTATTTAAATATTTTAGAATTTTCAGTAGGTAAGTCATTTTAAACCGGCTTTGTAAGTTTTATTCATAATAGATTGATCTCTATCAGGACTTTTGATCTCGCGCAAACGCTTGATCTCTAGATCACTGAGTCGGCATTCGACGATGTTAATATCTAACTTTATGCGGGACAGTGGATTCGCACTCTGAGGAGTCCCATACTATGACGAAACAGCCTTCCAATGCCCCCAGGTTTCCAGTGGTAGTCCAAGAATAATTAGTTCATGACCTCGATAAAAACTCAATAATCTACACGACCTTACACTGGTAAGGGTTAGATGGACATAACAAGATTATGAATTCTAAAAATCACCAAAATATATAATAAATTTAACTTGATTTAATCACTGAATAATGGTTGGTGATATGTTTATCTAGTCTCTCTAATACTGATCGCACTCTATCTGTCAAGTCGCGATGTAACCACTTGTCTAAGAGAAATCGACGTAGTTTGCTCTATGTTTTAAAGCTCGCTGTTAGGAATTATTTGAAAAGAAAGCCTAACTGTGGCCAGTAGACTTCTATCAGTAAAAAGGATTTTTTAATGTTGTTCATTATTCTGTGTTTAATTAATTGTCAATATTTCAGTACTACAGAAGATCATTTGCAGATCTAATAGTTCAGTGGTAATTTCATAAGCCGTAAAACCAGACTATATTACTTCAAATCCGTCAGGGAGCAGTAATTTCCTTGAAACTACAGGTAAACCTAACTGATGGGCTTCAATTAACACGAAAACAAGGTCCACTGTTTTCTCCGAACCACCTTACAGAAGTTATTGATTATTTGGTTGTTTTTATTCTGATAATATGCATATCTTAGCAAACCAGTTGACAGATATCTTAATATTAGTTACACAAATTTTAATAATAAATAGTATAAAGTTTATTTGTAAACATCAGTCAGCATTCAAGTATGAAATAATTTCGTCATCTCCTTTGCTCTGAGTAGAAGACCATACATGTACGGAACGTTCAATAAAAATGAATTGAGTTACCAGGAAATACAACAGTTTTTACTGTCGGTAGTTAATATTGTGTCAATATAAAATGGAAGCAGTTGTCATTCACTCGTTGACAATCAACTTGACGACACACTATTAAAAGCTGTCTTTATATTGCTGAATATTTTATATGAGTCGACTGACCACTTTGTGATAATCAGTTTTACAGTTACAGTCGATATCGGATATTGATTGTAAAGTGGTTAGCGTCAAAGTTCACAATACACTTTCCATCCTATTTGGGACCCGTCAGTTGGACGTTCCTGTTCCTCGGTGTTGATACTCACATAGATAATCCACCTGAGTACCTTTCGCTTTAAAGGATAAATACGTCCCAGTGTGAACATCAACATTGGGATTCAGGTACAACCATTGCATAGTGAATTACATTCCAATTCACAATTCAAATCTATTATAAATTGTAACTAAACAAGAATTTCTGAACAATCTATGTCAGAATGCACATATACCAATAGAGATTGATCAAAACCAGTCCTTATTACTAACAGTCAACTTAAATATAAAAACGGATATTCACTGATAACATTTGTTGTAAATCGCACCCCTGGAGTTAAATGTTAACCTGCTCATTACTTGGTCCAAATATTTAAATGTGTATATGTATATATTCGAATTATGAAGACCTTCACATCTGACAGGAAGCACGAAATACAATGGACAGCTCGGAATAAACTATACGATTTGGACTTCGTAGATGACCTAGCACTTCTACTCCATACACAAGGACAAATCCAGGTCAAGACATTGAAAGCAGCAGCATCCTCTGCATCAGTAGACCAGAACATTCATAAGGGAGAAAGTAAGATCCTGAAATAAAACACAACGAATACCAACCGAATCAAACTTGATGAACAAACTCTGGAAGGAATAGAAACTACCATGTACCTGGTCAGCATCATTGATGAACAATGAGGATCGGATGCAGACGTAAAGGCAAGGATTGGCAAGGCGAGGTCAGCACTTCCACAATGAAAGAACATATGGAACTCAAAACAACTGTCAGACAACACCAAAGTCAGAATCTTTAACATTGATTTTAAAACACTTCTACTTAACTGAACTAAAACTTGGCGAACTAACACAACCCTCATCAAAGAGGTACAGATATTTATAAACAATTGTCTACACAAGATACTTCAGATTCGTTGGACGGATATGATCAGCAACAACCTACCGTAGCAGAGAACAAACCAGTTTCCAACTGGTCAGGAAATTAGGAAAAGATGCTGGAGGTAGATAGTACATAAATTTCAGAAATCACCAAACGGAAAAGAGGAAGACCAAATAACACACTGAGTCGGGAATCGGAAACAGTCATCAGAAGAATGAATACCATTTGGTAACAACTGAAAAGAACTGTCCAGAACGAAGTTGGGTAGGGAATGCTGGCGGTTAACCTATGTTCTTCCACAAGGAACAACAGGCATAAGTAAGTATTATGCACATATTCCGTGATCCTAAATAGTATGGAAAACCCGATTTAATTTCACTTCAAGAAACCATAATTTTCTATCTAATATATTTATACATTGTGATAATTACCGACAGTAGATAATAAATGATAATAAAATTAACGAATACTAAATAAACCATCCTTGTATTTAAATTCACTTAGTATTGTTTGTTTGTATCTTCCCATTGATGTTTTATGATTGCAACTGGTCAGTCTCTTATTGGCCATATGTGTATACTGTGCGTATTGCCTCGATATAGGTACTGGGTTCGAATCCCAGAGTGAACATCAACTCTGAGATCCAGGTAAATCCAAATGACCAGTCCCAAATAGGACGAAACGTGAGTCAAACTGGATTCCACTGCTAGCCACTATCCATCTTTGCTCATTCTTTTTTATCAAAACAATCAACTCTCCCCCCACCTTTAAATATTCATTTCGTCTATTTCGTCTATGCTGAATAATTTAATTAGCCAATAGAATTATAGTTCATATGTCTGTCCATATTATCAAAGAAATTCATGTTTGTCATGACAACACACAATTCCCTTGTCACATTCATCAATATATCATGTTCATGATCATAATAAAAAAATACTGGTTATTATTATCACTATGACTTTAATAATACAATACATGAAAAAAACAAAACAGAAAGATATTGACATAGAGAATACACATATCTATGGTTTTGATGCAGGTTTGTTCTCTGAGCTAGATATCTATGAACACACACACCAGACAATCATGTCTATCATACGTTATGTGTATATATGTGTGTGAATATACAAGTAAATGTATCAATGGTTATCAAAATTAATAATTAAAACAATATTATATATAGTTGAGATCATGAGTCAATTGAAGCTAGACCACCATGGAAAACATGGAAGCACTGGATGGCCATTTCATCCTATTGTGGGACTCCTTAACTGTGCACATCCACGATCCCGCCTCATGAGATTCGAACCTAGGACCTATATTATCAATTGTGATAATCAATTTCATGTTGTGTTTTTTTAAAACTTATCTCAAACAATTGAGATTAAGTGTTGAAATAAGATATCTTCAACATCCCTCTAATATAAACCATATTCCCATATGTTTACACATATACAAGTTTTAAAAAATTCGACAATCTTAACTTGTCAAGTTATGTAATCACTTCGCTTTTTTTAATTTTACATACATCTGTATTATAAAGATATTATAGTTATTGACGGATTTAGAAGAATGTTGTGTTGTAAACATTATTATTATTATTATTATTATTATTATTATTATTATAAACGGTATTATTTCTTACTTTGGAGTTCACTTTCTAAATGCATTCACTGTACTATGAACTGGAAAACATCAAACTAATCACATATACAACACAATGAATCAAGAAAGTAAATGAAAGAGAGACAAAGAACAAGAGAAGATAGGAAATTCAAGAAAACAAACCCTAAGATAAACACTAAAGATAAGGAAAATTTAAATGATAACAAAAAATTATTTTACAAAAAAGATTAAATAATCACTAACACTAATAAAATGAAAACAATATTTACGAGAACAACAACAACAACAACAACAACAACAACAACAATAATAATAATAATAATAATAATAATAATAATAAGAAGAAGAAGAAGAAGAAGAAGAAGAAGAAGAAAAAATACATGTTGTCTGTGTTCTTAAGATAGATACAATGTGCAAGCTATTGCACGTACATACGCACACACATACATACATACACGTTTGTATGCATTTCAAGTACACATACACATAATATGTTTACATACGTGAAGGGGTGAAAATTTGTTGTTTAACCACTTATGACACACATTTGGGTGTTTATTAGTATGTGCGTACACGTGTGTCCGTGCGTTTAAAGTGTAATTTTTTTAAAATATACATACATAAAATATTATTATTATTTTCAAAGAATAATTTTCTTATTAGTTGGAGGCGACAAATTAAAATCACCGATTCAATACAACTGGGATAAATATTCTGTCAAGCATATTATATATAGATATATATATATATATATACACCCATATATCATACTATCATTATTAAACCATAATCATTATTATAATGATGATCTCATTCATAGGAATACAAATTATATACTGAAAAGATAATGAAAAACAATTGAAGATATAATAATGGATCATAATACATTGTTTGCATTACAATCTACTTCATCTATTGTTAATAAATTTAGTCAACACAATTCAAGATTAATGAAAACTGGTTATAAACGGATTAGACCATTATGTAATGAAATGAATTTGAAGAAAATGAATCGGACTGACAATGATGATAATGATGTTGATGAAGATGATTCTATGGAAGATCAAAGGATTAATATTCAAAATGATAATCTAAAACAACAACAACAATATCACCAAGAACAAGATGTAATTACACATCAATCTGTATTACATCGAAGTTTAGCTGAATGTTTAAAACGTTTATGTAATGAAATACAATGTAATCAATTTTTACCGATTACAATGAATTCATCAATGAATACTGATACAATTAACTCAATCAACAATGATTATACAAATTGCATAACTACATCTATCACTACTCCTACTCCTACTTCTACTATCACTGATACTAATGTTTCAACTTACCCTAATCAAGCATTAGACTTGAGTATAACATCAAATATGACATCAAATGAAAGTATATCCAATGATTCATTGAATATAATTAATACATTTAAAAACAATTTATCACCTTCACCAACATTATCTTCATACTATTCACTTAATAGTAATAGTAATAACTTTGCTTCACGTACCTTATCTTCCTCATCTTCTGATTCATCTACTTCATTGATGTCTTCATTCTCAAGTAACACTATGTCACAACAAGAATACCAACAAAAGAACACAGTTAGTTTGACAAATATCACCAATCAAACTGATTCACTTATAAATAGTTTAAATTATGAAAGTTCTAATATTATTAATGCTAATATTAATAATAGTAATGATAGTTGTAGCCAACAACAAACTACTCCCTATGATTCTTCGAATATTATCAATACCGGTAAGTATTGTGGAATTCCTAATGTTCTGACAATTACTCATAGTCTTAGTAACAGTAATAATAATAATAATTTTGATAAATTATTGAACATTTGATTGAACGATAATTCTACTAGTAATTCCACCATCATTGTTATCATTATTATTAACGTCATATCACTTTTAATTATATGAAAGGAACAGATAGTTTATTATGGCTGCGCTTTGTTCTCTGAGCTATGTGGTTTATTCCTGAAATTTCCATCGTGCTCCTGGAGTAAAGTGAACTGTGTAAATATCACTATACATGGCTAAAATCTTATTTTGTTTAAATTGATTCCCTATGTTATCCTTGTTGAGTTGAAATGGTAGATTAGTGGTCGAGGAGTTAAGATTTCAACCACTAGGTTACTGGATTGTGTCGCGCTCCATCTATATAGATTATGTCAGCTAAATAATAATTTTGATGATTTTACATGACAAATCGCTTTTCTTTAGAGAGTTCCTGAAAAATGGAAAATATTTAACAGTTGTTTCATTCTAATAAGTATACCTGATAATGAAGCCTAAATTTCTTTGGCTCAATATCTAAGTAGTTGTCGTGGATGCACACTACCGAGGAGTACTACTCTAGGACGAAAGAACTGTCTAATGTTTCCCGGTATCCAATGGTCGTCTAACTAATAGCATTTCACACTGTAAAAACATTGAATTCATTATTAATCCTTTTTATACTAGAAATTGATATATAAATTCAGGTTTAATTTTACTTATATTTTTATTAAGATATTCTTGTCCAGAAATATCGAAATTCTCGTACAAATCACATGACTCAGTGATTCTAATAAGTAGTTTTATAGTACTAAAGTGGAAATGAGCGGTTTATTTTTCAAGAAAATCTAAACAACATACATAATGCCAAGTCCAAACACCAATATATATATATATATTTCAGTAGTTGAGATCATGAGTCAATCCAAGCTGGACAACCATGAGAAACCCAGAATTAATGGACGACCGATTCGCCCCAGTGTGGGACTTCTCATCAATTCTCATCCGCGATCCCACCCCTCGAGATTCGAACCCAGGACCCTAAGTCTCGCGCGTGACCTCTTAACCTCCAGACCACTGAGCTGATTGGCACTCAACAGTGTTAGTGTCTAACTTCAACTAATCCACGAAATTGAGCAACCCATCTACCATCGTCTTCAATGAGTTATTATCTCACAACAAACCCGGTTGAACTCCACTGGTCACTACTACTTCTGACTAGAACTCCAGGAAATACCTCTTGAAGCCAGTCACTAGTGAGCATATATTGATTAATATCAGAAGGGGTTTTTTTGTAGATATTATAATAATTTCATTGGTTGAGGTCATTGGATGCCAGCTCAGTGGTCTAGTGGTTAAGCACTCGTACGCGAGACATATAGGTTCTGGGTTCGAATCTCGTGAGGCGGGATCGTGGATGCGCACTGCTGAGGAGTCCCATAATAGGACGAAACGGCCGTCCAGTACTTTCAGGTTTCCCATGGTGGTTTAGCTTCAATTGACTCATGATCTCAACTATTGAAATTATTATAATATCCACAAAAAACCCCTTCTGAGATACATATTTTTAAAATTCTCTATTCTTCATAATGTTTTGTTAGAAATTGATTAATTACAACTTAGTAAATAAAGAAGGAACCAATCGAGCGAAGAAATTCTTTTTCAATTGGTTTTTTATCATGGCTCTACAATTATATATATATAGGATTTGCAATGATGAAATAATACTCGTCGAGTAGATACGTTAAGTAATAATTGTATGATGATATATAGATTACAAACTAACATTGAAACTAATATTGAGATTTCAGCAGTAAATATTGTCTATTCATGACTTTAATTACGCTATAATTTCCTAACGTGTAACTCCTCCACAGTATGAGTTTATAACCCCACTGAAGACCAAACCAAGGACCTTCAATGCTTCTAGAGAGTTCAATTTGTAGACGAATAAATCGTTATTTGTTCGCCCGAACCAAAGTCGATTTTTGATGCAAACTTTGAAATTCAACAATATTCGCATACCCTTTACATTTATATTATAATTATTGTAATGATTTCAAAATAATCTAATGAAATCATGGACTGATTTAAGTTAGACCACTGTTGAGATCTCATAAGCACTGGATGGCAGTTTCATCCTAGTACGAGACTCCTCAGAAATAGGTATACACGATCCCGCGAGTTAAAATCGAACCCAGGACATTCGGTATTGCGCGTGAACGTCTAATCTCGACTACTGAGTCGGGATACAGAGGTGAGTTTAACTTTCATAGGGTTATGAAATTGTGCAACCATCTTCCATTGCCTCTGGTGGGTAACTGCCTCACACCTGATATGGCTTAACTCCACTGGTCTCGGCTTTTCGTAAGAATTCTGGAACATGTTTCTAGAAGCTAGCCACGAGTGAACACCTATCAGAAACAATGGAAGATGGCTGCGTAATGTTAAAAGCTAAGACTATTGAATGTCTTACTAGTGCTCTAGAAATTAGACAACTGAAGGTCCTATGTTCTTCTCTTACATGAAGAGTCGCGGATGTACACTACTACAGAGCCTAATATTAGGAATTGAATTAAGTAACTTTTTTATTCAAATAACTATTATAGTGTTGTCTGTCACCATCCTAGGTGATCTGTGTCAATGATCGAGGTCGACTTGGGTTGAACAGCTTAGCCTAAATCGAAGTCACATATCGCGGTTAATTACTTACTTGGTTCGGCCTATCGTGATAAACAAGTTAATTTACTTCCTTGGTAACTGGTTAGAATAAATATTCTCAATGGATAATTATATATTAATATGAACGAGTTACATAAGTACAAGACGGAACAACTAGTGAATGTACCTGTCATTGGCACAATATTGGTTGATACCCGTTGGTTGTCTTTGACCTTGATGAGGACCAGTAAATCGTTCGACATTCCGTGACTTACCCGCTGAATGACTTAGCTAGGGCCTAGTGACATTTCTCCGTCTCTACAGAGTACATTTTACGGGTTATTTAACTCGGTTTAGAATATTATCACGGGTTGTATTGTACAAGAAGGATTTTTAAAAAACAATGTATCATTAAAAGAGTTATAATTTTTGAATGAATGTTATCATAATTTTGTTTCTTATTACACATGTAACTTCATAGCATCTTTTAAACTACTAATCAGGGAATATACTAAACTTAGATTATTAGTAAGATGGTGGTTGGAGGTAGTCAACAGGAGACCCTAGACCTAGGTTTCTTGCTGTTTGGCACTTGTCAGAAAGGTGTACCTGTAATGTTGAGGGAACTAATGCTTGATAGGATTCGATCTACACTAAGAAGGATCTGACACACATGACAATGATCACCACCCAGTGATCAATCAATTGCAAACTTTAGATTGTTAGTTTGAGAATCAGTTCGTGATTTGAACCATTATGAAGAATTGATGGTAGATTTTTTACATAATTTGCCATTCATAAGGTCAATTTTTCAAAACTTTATTTATAAGTCACTGAGTTTTTATTGGTATTATGTTACTGCTATTATTATTGTTTTAATGTTGTTTCTTTTTCATTAGAAATTCCTACCAGGAACTAATTCGTGTGATTTGATATCATTTAAACAAATTCGTAGATCTTCACAGTTTTAAAAAGGGATTAAGGACAAAAAATGAAGTGATGTTAAGTACCAAATAAATAAGAAAGGTTAATTTGATATTCATGAAATATTTAACTATAGGTCATATAATTCTTTGGTGTGTACTACTGATATCGACAGATATAAGTAGAATGTATCATCCATAGAAAGTGGAATGCCTGATGACAGAAAGTTGGGAAAATCGAGGAAAAAAGAACAAGAACAGAGAGTGATTGATATGGAAATGAATGAACAATGAAGTCTGAGACGATAGACATTTCTCAGATTTTACTAAGAGATTTTGTCATTTTGTATTCAAATACATTTGGTTGTCCCCGTTGATGTTCTCGTTCACTACAACTCTACTATTTAAAAATAGTCTTTATTATCAACTGATATCTGAATAATTACTTTGAGTGGGGTCCAAGAGATGGTGCAACACAGTGGCTAGAGATATTGTCAGATATGGCTTAGAATAGAAGCCAATAACGATCCTGCTGTAACCCTCTTTTACTTTCTTCATAAAGAGTGGTTATAATTTTCTTAACTGAAACAGTCTTCTGGTTGTACATTTCTGTTCCCCCCATCATTACTCTTCTCTTTTTTTCATTCCATTTTTTCTTTTATATATATGCATCTTACCCCTTTCTCTTCCCATTTTCAATGTTTTGTGTGGTGCATATATATCTGGTGTCCCTTTGTACCAATATGTATGTGTTTAAATAAATAAATAATTTTGAGTATGTTGTATTACATTCGTAGAATTTGTTATTAACTGATTCCAGAACTGAGAAATTGTAAAATTAAACACTGTAAGTACACAAAAATGATAGAGATAAGGATTTATGGGATCAATGAAACAGTCATATTGTCCAGCTGATTAAATCGACTTTCATTATATCAGCATTGAAAAGATGTTTCGAATCAATCTAATTTACTTTTTATACTATGTACATATTCACGGTTTTACCAAGAATGATGTATTTAGGACTTTAAGATAATATAATAAAAAGGATACGTTTAGATATAGATGAGGTAAGATGAATTGGTTCAGATTTCTTATTACAAATACATCGATGTTATCTATCTCAGTTAAAACATATATTATATTTGGAATTATCAATATGATGTTGTGGAGATTGCTGCGTTTCTGTTAGAGATCATCAATCGGCCGATGCTAGCCAATCACTGCATTGGTCACTGCCGGTCATATTCTAACTAGTGGCTGGCTTCAAGAGGCCTTTCCTAGAGTAAAGTTCAAACAGGTCTGTTGTGAGATAGTAACTCATTAAAGACAATGGTGGATGATGGCTCAATTTTGTCGATTTCGTGGATTGGTTGAAGTTTGACATTAACACTACTGTGTGTTTACCGGCTCAATGGTCTAGAGGCTGGGCTTTCGCGTGTGAGACTTAGAGTCCTGGGTTTGATTCTCTCGTTTACTATTAAGGAGTCCCACAATAGGACGAAGTTTTCCATGATGGTCTTGCTTCAATTGACTGACGATTTCAACTATATAAAACTAATACTGTTCATAATCATTAAAACTTTCTTCTTTCTCTCATTATATATTTAGCTCAAACATTATTATTTCCTGGCCTTACTTCAACTATTTTTAATTTACCTTCATGTTTAACTTGTACAAATACATTAACACCAATGAAATCAGTAACAGATCAATTAATCAAAGAGAAAGTTGAACAAGATGAAATACAAGAAGAACTTTTTACAAAAATTTCTAAAGCAATTTATTTACATCAGAATGAATTGAGTCATTATGATAATACTACTACTACTACTACTAATACTAATACTACTAATACTACTAATAATAGTAATATTAATAGTAACCCATCGACTATTATCAATAACATATTCAATCCAACTGAATTCATTTTAAATTATGCAACAAATTATTATTTACATGGTATTCATCAACCAATTAATAATAAATATTTAATAGAAGAAGAAGAAGATATTGTTGAAGGTGAAGAAGGGGAAGATATGAAAAAAGATGAAATTTCTACATGTACTAGTCCTGATGAAACTATATTAAAAGAATTCGATAATGAACTATCTTCAAAACGTGTTGGTAAGTTGAAATTTTTCTTAAAGTATATTATGGTTGTATTACATAACAACGACCTATGCTCGACGAGGAGTAACATGTGTAAGTAGGTAAGTTAGTAAGTAATAACTTAGCAAGAAGCTGTTTAATTGTAATATAAACAGGATGTGATAGTGAGTGAAGTAGGGTTCGGATTTGATGAGAAGCATCAGTTCTATCATGATTGCACATATATTTATGTAAGAATTGTCAAGTGATATGAAACATAAGCTTACACTTTCTTAACAACTACCTACAATAACCTGACATGGTTGTGTTGAATCTTCTTATTGATGTTTAGGACCACAATTGATCAGCCTGTCCTTGGTATATAAGCATCCTATGAGGATGGCCTCGATATTACTATTAAGTCACAAGTATTTTAAGTAGAGATGGATGATATTTAGCAAAATAAAGTAATTATAATAATGACATATGTGTTACATCATATAAGCAGAGTATTTGAAATATCTTCGTATTGCGTTCAGTTTATCTAAAATCATGATCAAAAAGCTGAGTATTCTTTGATCGTTTTACAAAGAAAATGAAAGTGTTAAACGTGTCCAATGCAGACTTCTTCCTCTTGAAACTGTATACAACAAGTAAATGAATGAAGTTTTAATCTAATTTACTTATTTAAAAAAAAATCATTTTTATTAGTAGTCTATTGAGTAGTAAGTTGGTAAACTAAGGAATATTGCTAACATTGGTTACAATTTCCACATATTATTGTTATCAAAGGGTTTATTCAATATAATATTTTTGGTACAATATAGAATTCTTAGCGTAAAGTATTTCAACAAGTTTCCTTTTCTTATTTCTTGATTGATCATGACGATAAACATTGAATGATCCCTAGTTTAGATATTAGCAGTTCAGGGATCAACATCTGAATGACGTTCATTCTTTTCAATCCATATTTGATAGCCACCATATAGTCGCTGATTGTATCTTATCGCAATTTGTACAGAGAAAGGTCAAAAACTTTTCACAAACGCGCCTAAATAAGTTATACGATTAATAGACATAATAATGTATTAAAATAAACAAAAGACAGGTAACTTGTTGGAATATCTAAATGTCAGGAATAGGTAGTCCAGATACTCAAGCAGGCTTGATATCACTTCTACCTTATAAATCCATCTTACTTACGGTTCAGTTAATCTATTCATGAAGATTCGATAGATGTTTAGTGTGAATGATTTACTGTAGAAACTTTATAACATTGGGAAGTATTTAGAAAAAAAGCCTTTTGCCCTAATATATGTGTACATAGGTTATGTTATGTGGCGAAATTTCCACAGTGCTTATATCAGAACATTATCAATAAACCTTGTCTTACAATTATATCTCAATAGGTTTCATTACATTTTGGTTGCAAATCAGTTTTAAAGACCATAAGATCAATTTAATATCACTATTGGCTCATCCATGTCTGTAGGAGTTAAGTGTAAAGAGTTTAATGTAAACAACAAAGTGACTTATAATTCAGAAAACAATTAGGAAATTCAGCCTTATTTGCTACCTAATTTTACAAGGTTGATATATAGGAATAGAATGGAGTAGGTGTACAACATAAATGCTTGAAATTAAGTATGAATGAATGAAACTAATGAAGTAATAACATATATTTGATATAGAGAGCCAATCGGAACTAAATTAATGAGAAGGTCAGTCGATGGTAATCAAAAAATGACCTAAAGGATAAGGGTATTTCATTGACTAAGAGATGGATTAATGCCTTAAGGATTACAGTAGTATATATATGAATGAGTATTTGTGCATTTTATTCGGTAGACCAATATACTTTCTGGCTCGCTCATGTATTATCGCCCGAGTGGTCAAATGGGGGGGGGGAGAGTTAGAACGTGGCATACCATGTATCAGCATTAGATTTCGGACAGTGCTCGTCACAATAATTTTACTCTCTAACTTTTTATAGACAGATATCTGGTATTGAGACATTTTCGTGAACCGTATTCGAGCTTGTATATTTGGATTCATTCTAAATTTATCTCCATAAAGGAATAGAACATTAAAACTTATGATTTATCATATTATTTACTTTACTTTCAATTACTAAATACATGTTAACCTGAGCTAATCAAGTATAAGTTAGAGATGTTGACCGGTACAAGCTATTGGTCAAAATTTAGCCTAACTTTCTGAAGTGACATCTATATTCTATTTGCTGAAAATGTCGCTTAGTTTTTTTAAGGGGCATAAACCATTATTTATACATGAGTATAAGCATCTTACCAATTCTTGGTTTCCTCACTCAAGTACTAAATTTAATTTATGTATAAGAAAAGTAATTACCAGTAGCAGACTTAGATGACCTCAGGACGTAGAATGATCATAATCAAATCTCTTCTCATCGTTTTCGACTCAAACATTCACTTATAAAATAAATGTACTTTACCTCCAAGCACATAAAATTCTAATCGATTGTTAGGTTACAACTAACTTTTGTGCATATTCAAACAATCACATCTATTCTTCATCATGTGGAAGACTTTAAAAGTATTTTTCTTATCACCTTTGGTTTTATGTTACAACTTAAATATTCAACAATCTACACAATTTCATTGTATTAATATTACGTTTTTATTTAGTTTAATTCAGCTATTGGTCTGAAATTTAAGTTAACAATTTATAAAATATTCTATCCCTCATGAAATAGATAAAGGAATTAATTACATACTTTTAACAGTTACTCCACTAATTTTCTATTAGGGAGATTCATAAAATTGTTCGAAAAAAAAACAACCAAAAAATGGCTCTCAAAACACTGACAAACACCTTATGCAATCAGTATTCAATAGAAGTTTTGCCAGAAACATCTAGAAAGTGAAAGGTTACACGTTGCGTTTTCGATTGCATGATTACCTATACTGTCACTATGTTAAGTAGCGTTCCAGAAATTTCCGGAAGCCCAAGGCCATATTAAATACTATAAATACCCTAGATTTTTTGTACATAAACGAACTTTGGGGTAAAGAGTTTTTTATGTATTTCACGCCTTTTCTCTTGTGTTCATGTTACTGAGAAGATTATCCTGGTGTTACTATAGAGCTAAGTAAACCGAATCATTTTCGTTTATCATTTTCGTTTAATGCTCTAAAAATGCTTTTTTTCATATTTTTCTATTTCAGATTCATCTGATATGGAACAATTAGACTTGAAAACAACTTCATTGTGGTTAACAGAATCAGATATCCATTCTATACCAAATCTAGTTGAATCTATTAAAAAATACCATTCAAATGATGAATGTGGTTTTGATGTATGTCGATCATCTAAACTAAGAGAACATTATCATTGTAGTATATGTAATAAGGTAAATTTAATAGTTAGTTGTAATATCAAAAAGGGGTTTTGTAGAGATTGCAGTAATTTAATAGTTGAATTCATGAGTCGATTAAAGCTAGACCACCATTGAAAACCTGGAAGCATTCAACAGCCGTTTCGTTCTAGTATGGGGCGACTCCAAAGTGTGCATCCACAATCCCACTCGCCACACTCAATCCCAAAACCTTCGGGTTCACGTACGAATGCTTAATCTCTAAATCATTGAGCCGGCCAGCATCCAACGGTGTTAATGTTTAACTTCAACCAATTCACGTTGAGGCAGTAACTCACTGAAGACAATGGTGGACGGTGGCTCAATTTCGTGGATTGGTTGAAGTTAGACGTTAACGCTGTTGGGTGCCAGCCGACCCAGTGGTCTAGAGGTCAAGCATTCACGCGCGAGACTTAGAGTCCTGGATTCGATTCTCGGGGGACGAGATCGTGGATGCACATTGTTGAGCCCCCAAATGCCCTGGTACGGCCGAGAGTGGGAGAGTCCGCTCTCCTTCTCCAAATGCTCTCACATGGCCACGCGAATATATAGCCTCTGTCAGGGAATTCCTACTCACTGTCTTTTCGTGGCGGGAGTGTTGTTTACCAAATTGAGAGGACGAAAAGCGAATGTCCGTCACTTTAACCGGGTTGGTAGACACGGAAAGTTCACCTAGGGGAGTTGGAAAACCCTGACTCCAAACCAGTGGTTCACATGGGCTCCAGTATCCTGAAGGAACAAATGGCGTATGAATCAATCGTTGGTCACCGGCTACCATGGGACTGCATCTTCTTACGATGCTCCACTGACTTGTGGACTAGACCTTCAGGTCAAAGGCTCGCAGTATGTCCTCCTAAGAAAACCACCTGCTTCAATCTGAGCACCTGAGTAGTATCACAGCCCTCAAGCAAATGGAATGAGATTTGTGAGGCGCATATAAATCTGGTGCCTCTTTGTACCAATATTTATGTGTCAAACTAAAATAAAATAAATTGCTGAGGAGTCCCATACTAGGACGAAAAAGTCGTCTGGTGCTTCCATGTTTCCCATGGTGGTGTAAGTTATATCGACTCGTGAGTTCAAGCATTAGGTTAGCTTTAACATTGATTCGCATATTTTTTTGTAATGAAAAACGTAATCTGTTCAGAAAAAAATCTGAACTGTTTAATTCTTTGACAGGACTTAAAAACAGGTGTCAAGAAATTCAAAAAATATCAAAAGCAGTTTTAGGAGATAATACTTTGAAGAAAACAGTTCTCTTTTCAAGCTTTCGATTGTCTACAGTGAATAGTAATAGGGTGATGCAAGTTCAACACAATATAGCTGATATTTTGTGTATTGATAAAAATGTGGAACATGTGAAGTCTCTTGAAAGTCGGGACAGCCGATTCACTGTTCAAATGATTGTTGATAAAATGAATTTTTGAAAATCGTATGTATACATGCTTTTAGTGAAACATTTATATCTCAGAAATCATAATTGGAAAGTCTCATATCTAAAAAACCTTATGGATCATTCAAAACCATAAAAATGCAGATGAGACAAGTATAAAGCTACAAATGTAGATTATCTTGAAGAAGAAAAGATTATTGTACATTATGTTTTCCAATGTAAATTTGTTTATGACTTCAGATTGAATGCTTATTGAATAGTTTCGTCTTGTAGTCATGGATTTTAAGCATAATTAAATTTGTTTGTCTCAAAATTAGTCAACTTTCTTTCCTTGGTAGGATAGTTATTGTGAACTAATAATGAGTCTGATACTAGGACGAAAAATCTGTCAAATGTATCAAACGATGTTAGTCTATGGAGAGAAGAAATCTATCAACAAGTTAGATTAACCTTTAAATTTAAGTAGAATGACATAAGAATTAGGGGATGGAATCCAGCTTTGTTCCCTATATTATGGTGAGAAGTCGTGATATTTTGAAATTCAACCATTTTGATAGTGATCGAATTTACTACCAGTGAATCCGGATAGCGACCGAACTCAATCACTAGATTCCGATTTAGTAGTATAAAGATATTGAGTTTGCTAGAAATTCTGATAGTCAAGGAACTGGTCTTTATTGTGTTCGTGATAGCGTATTGCTAAGGAGTGCCATACTAACATAGATCATATGTTTCATGCTTCTTAATTTCTAATGGTACCAATTTATTCAGTAAACCGTTTACATTCTAGAGTTATCATCTTACTGCATTGTGACCAAACGGTTTCTCAATTATTATTACTATTTTAAAAATGTTCGAAAGCACCTTCTGATCTTTAATAATTACTCTGTATTATAAAAAACACACTTTAGATTATTCTACGACGTGAAGAAATGATAAGACATGCTAAATGGCATAGAAAACGTGAAGAAAGTATGCAATATGGATTTATGCGTTATAGTCCATGTGATGATTGTACCATTATTTCTTGTCCACATAATGGACGTCAAACACATTATCATTGTATGCAATCCAATTGTGACAAGGTGAGAATTATTGTCATTATTATTGTGTTTTATGTGAAAAAAAAGCGACACAATTTATAGTTCTAATGACTTTTTTTTAGCGAAAAGATGTTAATACTCTGGTTAGGTCAGGGATGCATACTGAAAAAGAGTCCGATATTAGGACGAAACAACTACGTAGTACTTTCCAAATTCTTATGTCTGCCTAGCTGAAGTTACTCTATGATATAAAATTACTGATTTCAACAATTTCCACGATTCTTTTACACTATTAATAAACATGTACTCACTAGTACCTAATTTTGAAAGGTAACTATCGAATTTCGAATGAGAAGCCTTGACTAGTGATATTGTGATATGTTGGAGGAAATTCAGTCATCCCCTAGTAGTTATTAATTGGAACTAGACATATAAACCACTGTTCACCACGAGATCTTTGATCTTGTATTCATTTCCTGATAGGATCATAGATATATGCTGACAAAGAGTTATAGTACTTCCTATCTAAAATTAGTCTGTGATGCGGAACTACAAAATGCATCAGTCTTCAATAATCCTCTCCATACCTTACCCTAAAGTTCATCATTTATTAGTTCGAAATAAAACGAGATTTTCAATAAAGGATATAATACTCGTACAATTATCGTTTAAAATACCATCAATAATTATAGACTTTAGGGAAATTACCATCGTTTTCATGTTTTCCCCTTGCAAAGTTATTTCATATTATTATTATTATTATCTAAATATTCCCCTGTCTTATTACTTAATCAACATTCTCTTTCACTGACTTGATTGTTTGTTCCTTCTTTATTCTCTTTCTCTTTTTCTCTCTTGAAATACCAACGATAACAGTCAAAATTTTCTAAGACTATGATGATGATTAGCTAGTCGAATAGAATGTGTGTGTGTGTTTTTTATTGTTTTATTTCTGGCTTCATCTCTCTCTCTCTCTGTGATTAGTTTCTCTGCTTGTATTTTCACATATTCTTTCCTTCTTTCCTTGTTTTTTTCTCTTTTTTTGTGTTTTTTTTATATTTTCACGTATACCATTGTTTTCTTTTTTTATAATCTATATATATATACATATGAATAGATTCATATGTTTTACACCTAAAATTATTATTATTATTATTATTATTATTATATCTAAAATAAACACAAATTCCTTATGTTTAGTGTATATATGTCTATGTTTTTGTGTGTGTGTCTATGTGTGCACATTCATTTGTGTGTATGACCATTGGTTCATGTTACTAGGGTTAGTGATAGTAATGATATTGTTAATAATGATGAAATTTGTGTCTGATTTTATAGTTTTGTGATGTGATTATCAGTAGAGTCTAGGAAGTGAGTTTACATCTTCTTTTGGATGTATTAGTTGAGTATACCTTCTATAGTTCAGTGTTGATATTCACAATGAAATCTGAACCTAATATCTTTAATTTTAATGATGTAACGTATTATTCACTGTGTAATTGTATCTAAATAATTGTTAACTTCTTCAAAAATTAGGAAGATATTCATAAGGGTCTGTAATTTCCCTGAAGTTAATCGATCTTTTTTGTTATAATGTCTATTCTATGCGAATTAGCTGCATAAAGCACTATGCCACAAGTTTTAGTAAATTTTGATATGTGATTGGGAGTGGAATATAAAAGGCACATTCTATTTTATTTAGGAATGAATAGGTGGATGTACCTGTATCCCAATGTTTATGTTCAAACTAAGACTTCAATCCATTTACTTATGAATAACATCAGGAACTAAATCTAATTATATAATCGTTAATTACAGAACCGGTGCTTTCAACGTGGTATGGTCGCCAGCAAAAGCCCGCTACGTCAGGAATGATATGATGCATTCCACTGACTACACTACTCTCGCTCCTAATAGAAGAAAGACAATTTACATTATCATTACCATCATTATTATTATTTACTACGTCGCTTTTTCACTCCCTTTATTCCCAATATGTGTATCCTTCCTTTTCAACTTATACAGTAGCTCGTCCATGGTGGAAACTCTGTCCTATCTAAACGATCTCCAGTCAATGTTTGGTCGAAAGTGAATGCTTCCACCGGTTATGAATACTAAACCAGTTAAATACAGAGATATATTTGATATTATTCATATCTTGACGTATGATTTTTAATAGTGGTGTTTAAGGGCGATAACAAAAAAATATATGGAACTCATGAACTTTGTAGTGATTGTTTCATACTTAAAACATTCAGATATTGTTTACATGAGTGAAATCTACTGGTCATAAATTCCCACTAGAATTTCGTAAATACAACACATAACCAGTCTCTAGTATGCAAGATTAAGATACTTGTAAAGGTTAATCATAAATGAACATCGTATAGAGTATCAGTAAAGACTAGAAAGTACTTAATATTTGTTTCATCCTAGTATAGGACTTTAATAGTACACAGCATGAACCTAATAAGAACAGAGCTCTGAAGTTTCAGCTTTCGCAATGAGTGCTTATTTATTTATTTGAACACATAAATATTGGTACAAAGGGGGTACCAGATATATATGCGCCACACAAAAAATTGTCATTTAATTTAATTGTTTGAGGTCTATGATACTGCTCGAGTGCCCAAACTGAAGCAAGTGGTTTTCTTAGGGGAGCACATTCGAAGCCTTTAGTCTAAAGGTCTGATCCACAATGCAGTAGAGCATCGTGAAGAGATGCAGTCCCATGGTAACCGGTGACCAACGATTGGTTCATATGCCTTTAGTTCCATCAGGACCCTGAAGCCCATGTGAACCATTGGTTTTGAATAAGGGTTTTCCAACTCCCCTAGGTGGACTCACCGTGTCCATCAACCCGGTTAAAGCACCATACATTCGCTTTTCGTCTTCTCAATTTCGTAAACAACACCTTTTGCTCCAGAAGGCAGTTAGTAGGAATTTCCTAGTAGAGGCTGTACACGCATGGCCGTGTGAGAGCACTTCGAGAGAGAGAGAGAGAGAGAGCTAGCCCTCTCCACTCCCGGCCGTACCAGGGTATTTGGGGGCTTAGACCTCTAACTTAGTGGGTTGTACCGATTTCAGTAAAATTATTATAATTTTGTAACCATAAATTAGCTTTAAATTATTATTTATACAATATGGCAATATGATGGAATGTACATAATCAACTGAACGAATGTTTTATTCCCATGACTAAGTCTCAACTACCAACTGAGTACATTTCATAAAACAAAATATATCAATGAATACTGTCATTATTAACATTATGTAATTATATTTATTGGTTGTATACATGATATTCAACTACAATAGTATGACCCTGAGTTGTTATATCAATTATATATAATAAATAATCCAATTATGAAAGTAAATAATCATAAATCAATCAATTTTCAACTAACCCTGTTCAACATAACTTGTATGAAACATTCAAACTATAAATCTTAAAATGAGAAGAATAAGCCAATATATACGATTCTACCACTTATATGTTAATAAGTAGGGTTATTCTAGACGATAACTTGAAAAGAAAAACGTCGTTATTTCGAATTACACTACTATTCAAGCTAGTTTTTCTTATTGCAACAAATATTACATTAATTATCAGTATACAGTTGTGGAGACCATTGAGTTTCAATTAATATCATGAATGCATGAGTGTTAGATCACTATTGAAAACCTGAAAGCACTCAACATTTTAGTATGGGACTCCTCAACAGTGCGCATCCACGATCCCGCACACAGGACTCCAACCCAGGTCCTTCGCTCTCGCTGGCGAACGCTTAAATTACACTAACCGATTAAAGTATTAATATAAAGCAAGGAGTTTTGTGGAAATCGCTGAAGTCTATAGTTTACATCCCCGACAAACTTTACGTAAACAAACATTGAAAATCAGAAAGCCCGGGACAACTATTTCCTTTTAGTATGAATCTACTAATTAGTACACATTCACGAACTCCAAAACTTCATTTAACTAGTGTTTTATTTTCATAGTACAAATCAATAGTTGATGTCAATTAGACCAACATTAAAACCTGAAAGCACTAATCTCTTTCTAGTATAAAATTCTCCAGTAATACGTATCTTTGACCCTGTATCTAGGATCCAAACCGAGCACATTCAGTCTTGTGAGTGAACACTTAAACTCTAGACCACTGAACTATGGTGTACATGTTTAATACTTTCAAGTTTTTCTCGATGATCTACTTAAGATAGATTTATGAATAAAACTACAGATATTATACAATCCCCACAAATCTTCCTATATTAATAATGGTTCTTTTCCCTTGATTCTTCTCTTTTTTTCCCCAACTATAATCAATATTGTTACAAATCTTTGAACTTACTATAATCATTAATTTATAATAACAAATAACAATTATGAGTCATATTACAGTGAAGTTAACCTATGGTTTTGTGTGTGTGTGTATATATGTGTACGTGTTTAGTTTAATATTCTTTTTGTGCCAAAAGTTTATATTTTTCGATTTATGTATTTGTTATTGAAAAAGAAACTACTGTGATATCATCAGTGTTATATAAATGCAAAATTTAAAAAAAAAGAAGAAGGTAAACAACCTATGGTTTTCTTATGTTTACAAAATATTCTAAACCAATCCGGGTAGAGAATAAAATAACGATATAGATTTATTACATAATGTATTAGTCAGTATTTGTTTTGTTTTGTTTGTTTTTGCTTTATGTTACCATTCTCCTTTTATGATTAAGATGAAAAAAAAGAAGCAATTTAGGTCAAAGGTTGTACAGTAATCTGAAAGAAAACACAATATTTCAGTTAAATTTGATTTATCAGAAGGGGTTTTTATGAAGATTTTTAGTAATTTTGATAGTTGAAATCATGAATCAATTAAAGATAGACGACCTGGAAGCACTGGACGGCCGTTTCGTCCTGGTATGGGACTCCTCAGCAGTGCCTATCCGCCGTCCAGTGCTTCCAGGTTTTCCATGGTGGTCTAGATTCAATTGATTCATGATCTCAACTATCAAAATTTAATTTAGGTGGGTAATTTTCA